TTTGATTCTTGAATTATTTGAACAGGTGGGCGACACTGTTAAATCTGGAGCTACAATGGAAGTGTCGTTTCATTTGGTAGATTTGATCATTATTCACTTCCTTGGGAGAAATGGTCATCGTTTTCACCAAATAAGTATTTGGACGAAATCGAAAATATTTCTACACCAGGGTCAATAGCTCAAAAGAAGGCCTGTTTTGAATCACACTACAAAAAAATTGCTGCTCAGAAGGCTGAACAGTTGGAGGAAAATCCAATGGAACCTATTAGTCAAAGCCCCGTAGAGTCAATCAGCGAGGACCACTTTGGAAACTCGACTGGTATTGATACTGAGTCAGGCATATGCAATGATGATAAATCTGGTGAAGTAGTTGTTAATGTGAATTTTATATAAAAATAAATAAAGTTAGCATATCTATGAAATCTTATTATTCACATCTTTTCTTTCATCATCTACAACCATTTAANAGGATAAGATGAGCACCGGTGCTCATTAGATCATTTCTATATATATATATATATTAAAATACTATCGAACATTATTGGTATAGAATTACCATCCGAGATGCTTATGTACTGTTTCCCATATTTTGTTTGTGTTTTATTTGAAGCTTTGGACTTGACAATTGCTAAGATTTTAATATATTTTCTTTCGTAATCATTAAGAAAATAAGCATCATAAAAACATAACCTTCATTATTTAGGGAACCCCAATAATCCAGAAACTTGTTACAATGGTGTTGAATCGTTAATCATGTTCAAATCCTTTATCTTATATTCTTCCTTGGGGGTGAGGAGTCCTTCAAATCCTCGCATTCAAGGAATGCGTCAAGCTTCCTACATGAAAAATATGTTGTCCTATTGCGAGTTTGCAATTCCCCTTTCTCGAATTGCTTGCAAACATCAATGTCGAATCTATCAAGTTTTTCTTCTTGTGGTGTCAAATGAAACTTCGGGAGGACTAGAGAACAAGAAAACAACGTCCTCCACTTATTTTCGCTCATTCCAAAAGCTAAATTCTTGCAGGCTTGCCCTGCATCAATAGACTTGCAAGCTGATGAGAAACAAATGTAGGAGCTCGAACAAGATGGTGATCAACCTGAGAATAGCTTTGTCCTTCTAAGGACGAATAAACAGTTTCACCCTTGCAAAACAATATGTTCGACCAGGGTATCCCGTGGCAGTGTCTGGTCTCATTGTCATGGGAACCTTTTCTACTCATTACTGTGGATACCATGTCACCGGCAGCCATCCACCTGCATAAGATGTGAACCATGATTTACATATGCAGTCGATACAATCAAGAGAATCTAAGGCCCTTTTGTTGTGAATGGATGATAGAACCTAGGAGAATGTTTATCTAAGCTCATTTTTTTAAGTTATTCGTCTTTTCCAAACATGCAAGTTATTTATCTTTGTAGAAAGTACTTCTATTTTTTCCTTTCAGTCTTAGCCAAACACGCTCGATCAATGTTGAAGAATTTTGAAATACTTTCATGAACTTTGAATCTTTGATGTACTAACTGACGCAAGTGGCACTTTAAGATTATATAGGCAGAAAGAACTGCCCAATTAATCAAAAAATAATTTTGAAGGTTTTCTTGGATTGTGATACCCAAAAATTTTGTCTGCAGTTGCAGCTTCACCAGGGAAATTCCCGACACAGAATGCCAGAAATTTTGGGATTATCCTTGCAAACCATACATCCATGCCACCTCCAGACATTATAACTAGAATCACAGGCCCTTTGGACGCATTTGCAACCTCAGATATTAAAAGGGATTGCTGTCCTGGGAGAGTACCAATCCTGCCGAGGGCCTCTCTCTCAATAGATTGTTCCGAACCCATTACCAGAACTACAGCATCAGACGAGCTTGCTATTTCATTAGATTCCTTTACTTGAACATTGCCACATGCCACATGGTCAAAGCCTGGATAGTAAACTGTTGCAACTGAGGCTGTTAGGCCTTGCAAAGTAGTAGCATATTTACAAAGAATCCCTGCAAATAATTCCCAAGCAAATGAGAAATCCCTCAAAAATCTTACATCAGAATATGTACGAATTCATATTGAAATAATAGAACTAATAAGAGCAAAAATTACCTTAAATAGTTTCGCCCATGGTCTCACTTACATAATGGCAGCAGGAGATAGAGGTAATGTTCCTTTAGTGTTTTTGAGCAAAAGATGCCTCGTCATGCAACTTCACGGGCAAGTTCCTGGTTTGGCGTGTGCACGCGTCTTCTGGACCAAGATTTTCATATAGTTGCTTGCTTGGGTCACCATCTAAGAATCCAAATCTCATCAGCATCGCAAATTTTTTTTTTTTTTTTGAAATGGCTCTGTTGATGTCTGTTTCGTTAAGTAGTCTATTGCAGCTTGTGTGGTAACAGTCAGGAAAGATCCACAGTTGAGATTCAACCCTATAGAATCATATTGAATGATCATATCAATCAAGTCAGCAATTAGGTGCAAGCATTTTGTATAAACTTTAGATTCGACTTACTGGACACCAAGTATAAGAATGTTAAAAAGTATAAGAACGTTAAAAGTACTTGATTTTCGATCTATTTGCAAGAACATTGAGATTTAAACTTCGTCTTTTAACTAATTCAAGATCAAAACTAACGACTCAATCATATATTAAACACCAGATTGTATAGCCAAAGCAGCAGTCTCTTCTAGCGTTTTGGTATAGTGCTGGAATTGAAGACTTTTCTCCAGAGAATCATAATCAGAAACAATGTACCTTCAAACAAACCGAAAACAAGAAAACTTAGATAAGAAATATAGTTCTAGGCATGAACATTACAGTTGGAAGTTATTAACACTACGTATATACCCATTAGCCGTTAAGGTTCCACTGGCCTCGAATCACCCTGGCCAAGAGATCAGAACCGCGGCAAGTCGGTCTTCCATTAACTTGATTGTACGAACACATTACACCCGCAACATTCGCAGCTTTTGAACGGCGGATGAAATTTATCCATCAAATCTTGCTGACCTAAAACTCACACAGAACATTCAACAAACATCTTGCATACAATCAAAATTCGTATCATGATTTAATACATCAAGAATTGATTACCACAGAATCGAAAGTGTATATCTCGAATACTTTCCAATTATCCAAATCATATGCTGTATAATGCTTACAGCACGCAGCAACTTTGAGTCTGTTTAATCACTATCATCTCTTTGCTGCAAACCTCGTACATATGCTACGGCGTACTTGCTGGAAAGAAACGGATCTTCTTCCGGAGTTTCATGGCCTCTTCGGCTCTTCCCCATCAGGGGTCTCGAAATATGTTAACATTTGGGTACCATAACGTTAATCCGACGTTTTACATGGCAATTGCCTCATTCAAAACCACCTGCACATATTCAAATTTTTTCAACGCCCCTCATGCATAATTTGACTGTAACCTCAAAGATTAGGTATAGCTTATTCATTTATATATCCTTTTACAAATAAAAATTGATATCCTGTTTTCATATTGAAGAAAAATTTCATTAATCTTTCTAAGACAGATTGAAGAAAATTTTGTAAAGGGCATAACCATATATTTTGGCAACAATGCAGTCGCATATCTCAGCAAATCTCAAACTCTCTTAAGAGGAATCATGTTTGATCAATATACTGTCATTCTCATTTGCTTCATGTAACTGACATCAATATCGAATTCCTAAGGCCTGTTTGGGAGTTTGCTCGATTCAAGGGACTAGGATAGTAGGGATAAAAGCTATAGCTTCCTTGGATGGCTATTTGGAACATTACATATGATGTTTGAATTGAAATGAAAGAATGAAATTAAGGCCCTGTTTGATAGGACCATCTTCCAACTTTTGTAGTGTTTGATAAATAAAATTTTTCCTGAAAAATATTTTCCAACTTTTCAAATTTTCCACATTTTTGAGACAAATAAATTCTTAATGTTTTAGTGGGTAAATATTTTTCAATATTGATCATGTTTGATCAATATACTGTCA